CCAAACTAGACCACCCCAGCAGAAAGTAACAAGACCTGCAAGCATCAACCCCCCCAACACAAACATACTCACCTCCCAAGAGACACAATAACTCCACTCATCCTTCCCCCCACAAACTCGAGATACACAAACAGAGTCCTCCGTCTCCTATACTGCTCGTATTCTCCATGCAAAGACACAAACAGATCCAAATGCACCTATAGTACACAAATACGTGCAAACACAAGCACCCTCTTTGTTGTCGGGGGTCTCACATTTGCTCTCATGGTCAAATCCGCTTAGAGACTATCTCTGCTCCCAAACAGACAAAAAAACAGATAAAAATCGTCAAAAAATGACTTAGACATTTTAAAAAATCACAAAGAAAAAGGAAAACAGTATCATCAACAGCACCAAAGAATAAAACAGTGAAATGTCTCTCTTTAGGTCTCTCTTCCAAGTCGCTGTTAGAGATTGATCAACAAATACTCAACCTTACAGAAACCTATGTTTAAATGAATCAACACCCTCGAGTCATACTAACTATAAGAATCCTCGAAGCAGAGGCCAAGGGGGCAGTGTGGCAGCAATTTTCCACACCAGCTTATTAATTAACGAAGACCAAGACAGACTTTTAATTCATTTGAAAGCCTGATGCTTAGCCTTGTCCACCCCAGCTGTAAAACTCAAAACCAGTCTTACTTGTTATCATCTATCGTCCACCTGGGCCTTACACAGAGTTTCTGTCTGATTTCTCAGACTTTTTATCTGATTTAGTGCTCAGCTCAGATAAAATAATTATTGTGGGTGATTTTAACATCCATGTAGATGCTAAAAATGACAGCCTCAACATGGCATTTAATCTGTTATTAGCACAGTTGGAAATGGTGTGTCACAAATTTAGAGGATCATCATTTAGCCTGGAGAAATAGTTTGTTGCTTTATAAGAAAGCCCTCCACAAAGCCAGAACATCTTACTACTCATCACTGATTGAAGAAAATAAGAACAACCCCAGGTTTCTCTTCAGCACTGTAGCCAGGCTGACAAAAAGTCAGAGCACTGTTGAGCCAACAATTCCTTCAACGCTAACTAGTAATGACTTCATGAATTTCTTTACAAATAAAATTCTTATCATTAGAGGAAAAATGACTCAAAATCATTCACAGATGTAACATTATGTAACTGTTACTTAAAAAAACAAACATCTTTGCTGTTTATAATTATAGGCCAATCTCCAACCTTCTTTCATATCAAAAATCCTTGAAAGAGTAGTTGTCAAACAGCTAACAGATCATCTGCAGAGGAATGGCTTATTTGAAGAGTTTCAGTCAGGTTTCAGAGCTCAGCACAGCACAGAAACAGCTTTAGTGAAGGTTACAAATGATCTTCTTATGGCCTCTGACAGTGGACTCATCTCTGTGCTTGTCCTGCTAGACCTCAGTGCAGCGTTGATACTGTCGACCATAATATCTGATTAGAGGATTAGAGCACGCTGTAGGTATTACAGGTACTGCACTGCAGTGGTTTGAATCATATCTATCCAACAGATTCCACTTTGTTCATGTAAAAGAGTTCCACAGGGTTCAGTGCTAGGACCAATTCTGTTTACATTATACATGCTTCCCTCCATCAGAAGGCATAGCATACATTTTCAGTGCTATGCAGATGAAACCCATCTTTCTATGACGCCAGATAACACACACCAATTAGTTACACTGCAGGAATTTCTTTCAGGAATTTCAAGGACTAGAAAGTGAGAGGATATTTGTCCTTTATTAGCTTCCCTTCACTGGCTTCTTGTTAATGAATTTAATTCAAAATCCTGCTCCTCACATACAAGGTCTTGAATAATCAGGCCCCATCTTATCTTAATGACCTTGTAGTACCATATCACCCTATTAGAGCACTTCACTCTCGCCTGCAGGCCTACTTGTTGTTCCTAGAGTATTTAAAAGTAGAATGGGAGGCAGAGCCTTCAGTTTTCAGGCCCCTCTTCTGTGGAACCAGCTTCCAGTTTGGATTGAGACAGACACTATCTCTACTTTTAAGATTAGGCTTCAAAACTTTCCTTTTTGCTAAAGCATATATATATAGGGGTGCAACGATACACAAAATTCACGGTTCGGTTCGATACTTTGGTGTCACGGTTCGATATTTTTTCGATACAAAAAATGTTCATGCCTTTTTAATTTGTCATTTATTAAAATTATAAATATATATTTTAACTCAAAAGTACAGTTTTTAAATTTAATGTTGCTGAAACAAAAGTAATTTAAAAAATAAATCTGATTGAGGAATCACTCATCTTTGGAAAAGAGAGTTTATTACAGAGAAATGGCTCTTTCCAAAATAAAAGCTATACTATACGCTTCTTCTGGGCTATATTCTCAGCAGCATATTGTAGCGGGTCAGGGCTGTTCGGGGTTCTGTTTGTACAGTTATGTTTTGTTTATGTTGCCATAGTGACGGGTGACGCCCTCTCGCTGCGACGGTGTGTCCTTCCGGGGTCAGAGGGCGCCCTGTGTGTTGTTGTTGTTGTTGCTGTGCGGTTGCCGCGCTGAGCAGTTAGCTAGCGGCAGTGTTCTTCTGCAGATGTCAATAAACGGCTGTGCTCCCTGGCTAGCTCACGGGAAGCAAGACCAAACGACACCTCCGTCTCCTCTTGTCTGAGCTCGCCACATTGGTGTCAGAAGTGGGATGATGGTGGCACCCCATGTTCTGACCCGAGTGACTTTTCCCCCGCCGGTCGTGACCGGCCGGTGCGCCAAAAGAAGGCACCTGGACATTTGCAGGACTTTGTGTGGGGTAATGGGGTCGTCGGGGACGACTGACCCCTTAGGTGGGGGCTATGTAGCGGGTCAGGGCTGTTCGGGGTTCTGTTTGTACAGTTATGTTTTGTTTATGTTGCCATAGTGACGGGTGACGCCCTCTCGCTGCGACGGTGTGTCCTTCCGGGGTCAGAGGGCGCCCTGTGTGTTGTTGTTGTTGTGCTGTGCGGTTGCCGCGCTGAGCAGTTAGCTAGCGGCAGTGTTCTTCTGCAGATGTCAATAAACGGCTGTGCTAGCTCACGGGAAGCAAGACCAAACGACACCTCCGTCTCCTCCTTGTCTGAGCTCGCCACAATATTAAACATATCAGGTCCCCATAAGGAGAATCATGTGCTAACGGCTGTCTAAATGACTCGGGTAAAGTTTGTAGCATGCATGCTTGTTGTTTTTGTCTGCTTCCACTTGTCTTTGCACTAGGATGATGTCGGGTAAATGTGCAGTCATATTCGTTGTGTTCCCACTAGTGCTGTCAGCGTTAATCTCGTTGAAATGACGTTAACGCCACAACACGGCAAATCTCCGTTAACGAGCTACCCCTGATCCCCTGTGGGGCTAGACGGCCAACACGTTAACGAGCTAACTGCGCTAACACACTAGTTCCCACCCATGTAATTGAGCATTGCGTGGCACATCCAACATACTGTTTTACTTTAGTCCATGACGCGCTTACCTTCAGGGTCATACGTCACATGAAAACCAAAATAATTCCAAACGCCAGATCTGAATGAGGGTGGGGGAGGTTCAATTTGCCATGTTGCAAGGAGAGCTTAACTTCTGTCTCGCTAGCTTGCCCTGCGCTCTTCCTTCTGACGATGCTGTCTGTGTTGAGCGCTCAGTGGATCTGCGCTGACAGTGCAGCCTAGGCGGAGTAGTCGAACGCAGATTCACTGAGCGCTCAACACAGACAGTCAGAAGGAAAGTTACAAATTTTGTATTTTTCGATACATATGCATACCGAACCGAAAGCACTGTATCGAACGGTTCAATATCGATACGAGTGTGGTTGCACCCCTATAAAGTATATAGAGAGCTGGATCAGGTGACCTTGACCCTCCCTTAGTTATGCTACAATATGTGTAGGCTGCTAGGGGATACCCATGAGTATTTCTTCAGTCACCTTTCTCACTCACTATGTGTTAATAGACCTCTCTGCATTGAATAATTACTTGTTATTAATCTCTGGCTCACTTCCACAGCATGTCTTTTTCCTGTCTTCTTCCCTTCACCCCAACTGGTGGTGGCATATGGCCGCCCCTCCCTGAGCCTGGTTCTGCGGGAGGTTTCTTCCTGTTAAAAGGGATGTTTTCCTTCTTACTGTCACCAAAGTGTTTGCTCATAGGGGGTCATATGATTGTTGGGTTTTTCTCTGTATGTGTTATTGTAGGGTTTACCTTACAATATAAAGCACCTTGAAGTGACTCTTGTTGTGATTTGATGCTGTATAAATAAAATAAAATTGAATTGAATACACAATCATTACAACTGTATTTAGTTAGACTATCTACACTACTTCTTCTTAGTTTCATTCTCCTTTTGGGAATAGCAAAAGTGATTCAATTTGCAGCATAATATTGGGTCCATACGTTTTTAGACAATGCCATGATTTTTGATCATTTTGCCTCTATGCTCCATCACAGTCTATTTTAAATCAATCAATATGTGATTGAAATTCAGACTTTCAACTTCAATCCAAGGGATTTTAGAATAAAACATGTCTGTTTAATTAATTTATTATGGATTACAGTCATTTTTATGTATATAGTTTCATAAATTTTCAGGGTTCAGAATGGATTGGACAAACGTGGACATTACTGTAAAGTAACAGACACAGCTGAACATGACCTTGTTTCTCTCTTTTCACTCTCCCAAAAGTGAAAATAGTGAAGCTTGAGATTACACTGATAGGGTCTCCCTCTTCTGGTCACATCAGCAAGTTATTGTTTGACTCATATACTTTGGGCTCTTTATCAATCTGCTGCTGGTCAAAGCATCCACAGTTGAGATGACCACCTGCTGTCATATGCCAACTGCCAGGATCTGCCTGAAATATCATTCATTCAGTCTCATTCACTGATATAATTCATGGAGTTAATATCGGCTTGTCTGTTTTATGTTATAATACTGTATCATGTGTGACCTCCTGTGTGAAAAAACGAGTAAAGAGACCAGACGCTGAATAAAATGAATAGACAGTCACAAACAAATAGAGTAGCAGACAGAAAGAGGATTTTATTTTTATATTCAAATTAAATGGCCATAATGTGGTTTCTTTTGTGTGTAGTTCACATTTAATGGTACAGTTTAAAATCCAAATGTCAGAGCAATTAGCAGCGAGTACTTTTCCCAAAATGTAGAAATGCTCTTCTAAGGCTGTAGAACTAGTGCAAACTGAGGTGCAGAGAAGTGCTGTAGTTAAGGTGTACGAGAAAATGTAAAACAGCTGGTCTAATCTCTGTCCTGAACAAAAGGCCTACAGAGGCAGGTGTAGTTTTAATTTATAAGGAGCATGGGTTTGCCAGAGATAATGTGAAGATGAACAAACATTTTGATTGTTTTACACACTAATGGAAATGTAATAAATTTTTTTAAGACAAATGTGGTGCACCATTAGGAGGCAGGCAGTTGTCATAGAATATCTGGAAAGAGCTGTCAACATAAGTTACTCTCTTCAGGAAATCCTCCAGCTGCTGCACCGTCATCTCTATAACTTTATTATTTTCTCTGTCGTTGAGCCCACGAGATGCAAACGCAGGGAACTTGGAGCGCTCGGAGTACGGAGCATTGTGGTCATAATCAGGGCAACAGTAGGCTGACCACAGGTAGGTAGGGATGCCCACACGGTTGATGTTGTGACGGCGGATTGTGTGGCCCGACGTGGTGACCCCGGTGACCACATAGGCGGTGCCCCTGCAGTAGTTGTTGAGCCTCCTGCGGATAGTGTTCTCGTGTTGTTTCCATGGACCAATGTTGAACTCACGAGCCTGAGGAACCACATTTGTCAACGTGTAGGTGGCTGCTTTGTCGTCAGGGTCGGCCTGGTGCTCGTCTGGATTGAGCTGACCGCGTTCGTAGATCACAGTGTCGGAGTAGTCCTCAAGCACAGCCTGAGCATCCTCAAAACTCCCGTGCACATTTTCTGAAGGCAGCTGCTGCATGTCTCTGGGGCCGGACACTGAGGAGAGCTATTAACATGGTCATGTTAAAATTGTAAAAAAAACAGGATATTTAGATTTCTTATATATTTATATTATTTATTACCAGCAACAACACTAAATGTGTCATCTGCATTTTATTTAAAGGGTGTGCATTCTGAAAATGGGCTTCACTGATCATTTACAAAAAGATTATTAAAAGGCTGAGATGCTGCTAGTAAAAAGTGTTAGTTCAACTATGTTTATTTTAATATATTTTAACATACATAACCTATACATTTGCACTGATCACAGTGAATTAGCAAAAACAGAACATTCAGGTTGTAATTTTTTGCAGCAACAGCATTTTACTTGATAAAAAAGAACTTTTGACCTTCTGGTAACCTCACAGCAGTGGTAGTAGTGCATTTATTGATAAAACTGGAGTTTCAATTTTCAAACTTTGTGACAAGCACCTAGTGGCAAAAAGTGAAATGATAAGTTGTATTTAAACTGTGGTGAATTACTATTCGTCCATAAGCTCTCATACATATCTGTATCTCAACATATTTGTCATGAATGATATCACGTCATATTGAGAGAGAAAAAATGGCATTGGATTGATTATATTGTACAATAGGCATAAAGAGACTTGCAATACAGGTCATTATTGTATATATAACCCTGTTCTGTTGACTACAGCCTATTTACCAGTGCATGAGAATATCAGCAGATATTAGACACACACACACAGACACACACAGAAACAAAATACAGAAACACCACCACTTTTTGGCAGATGGTCAGAACACATTTGAAGGCTCAGACAGCAAAGCTAGCAACCCTGCCTACCTGCGGCTCATACATCCAAGGCACGTCCACTTTCTTGGAGCCGTCTGAGCGCTTGAAGGTGTAGGCAGAATAAATAGGGATGTGGTTGAAGGTGTCGTAGAGGGTTACAAATCGTGGCTTACCCCCATAGAACTGGCAAATCTTTTTAAACGACTGCTCTTGAAGCCCTCGAAGCAGCGTCCCCATATACAAAAATTGCTTACACTCGGATGAAAGGCTTTCCTGCACCTCGCCTCCTACCATCACGACAATCAGAAGACAGATGAAAGCTTGATCTGTTCTGTAGACAGACATGATGAAACATCTATTTCTCCACAGTGCATTTAATCCCCATGAAAGACTCTACCGCTGTGTGCTTTTTGCCTGTCTTGTGGCTCTTTCCATATCAGGCATATTATGCAAATCCTTATCTTGTTCTCCTTTCAGCAGGCAAACGATCCACTACCATGTTTAAAAAGGTACCAATTAACAGGCACAGCAAAGCCGAAAGAACATTTTTCAAGTGGAAGACTTGTAGGCATCCTAAACATGTGGTTAGATTTACAAGGATTCTCTATGAAATAAAGGGAGAAATATAGTTTTAAGAAATTGATGACAGTGGTCTGAAATTCAGGCTCATATGCAGCTCTATGCATGAATTTAGGTGAAATGTGAAAAGTGGCATTGCACTTTATTGCACACTTACACGCCTTTTGTAGACTAATGAGTAACTGTTGTAAAAAAAAAAAAAACAGTGAAAAAATGGAAAAACAAGTATTTACGCTCTGTATCTGGGTAAAATTCTACTTAATCCTACTAAAGTAAAAAAAAACATTTTTATCATCAATATCTAATAATACTCTTTATGTGGGGTCATAATTGTTATATTATTGATTAATTAGAGTCTTTATTGCTTTAATTTTGCAGCTGAAGATGATTGTGTTTATATACTGCTGGACAGCTTTATGACAATACAACATATTTCAGTTATTAGTTTTATTTTTTATGCTGTATTGCATTGAGGGGCATGATAAAATACAAGAATTATACTGACATTTTAGCAAAAATACAAGTAGGTAGACTGAATAAAATCTGAAAACAGATGCAAACTGACCTCTGAGATCAGCACACAACAGCCTACAGTTTTCTTTTCTTTTTACTTGTATTTACTCTGCCTTTCCTTTCTTCTCAGCAGTAAAGTTTTGTGTGCATGTGTGTGCTTGTGTGTGTGTTTGCTTGTGTCTGTGTGCATGTGTGTGCTTGTGTGTGTGTGTGTGTTATAAGAGAAAAGACTGACTGGAATGTTTTTTTGTTTTTTTTTAGAAACATCTGTTCCCATAGCTACAGGTTAGTGGCAGAATGACCTCTGTGGAAACACGCACTTCCTGTTTATTATCCTAACATCTTCACTATTTACACTGTAATTCCACGCTGACCCCATTCGCCATTATCCCTCCCTCCTTACAATATGTAGGTTTAGACAGGACATTTCCAACTACCTCTTAAAGATAGTCTTTTATCATCTTATAAATTGGAATGATTTTATTATTAAGTCCTAATAATTTATTATTGCATTTCGTAAGCATAACAACTAACAGTGTGAGTCATTGTTTACCATATTCATTATTAGGAAGAAAGTCCAAAAGAGAAAATGCACTTTAAGGATGAGCAGAATGAAGATAAATAAGTCCATAAAACGAATACATTTCTTGGACTAAACTGACTTTGTTACTTCGATCAAAGTGTCTTACTCCTTTGAATATAACTGATAATGCTGTTTGTACAGCTGAAATTGAGAAAGGATCTCAGAATCCATGCTGAGCATGATTTTAATGGACTTTTTAGCAGCTTCCATAAGACATGAGACAACACAGCTGTGGGTTTGGATGTACTTTCACATGGAAATTCTTATTTCTGTCCCAGTTTACACTGGGTAGGGATCAATGGCTTGAAGGCCTTTTCATTGTATTCATGAAGGCTGCCTCTATTCTGATATTGTAGTCTGACTATGAATGTGAGGGCTGTTATTTGCTCTCAGTGTGGGTAGCCGCATTTGACCACTGAGAGCAAATGTGAGACCCCCGACAACAAAGAGGGTGCTTGTGTTTGCACGTATTTGTGTACTATAGGTGCATTTGGATCTGTTTGTGTCTTTGCATGGAGAATACGAGCAGTATAGGAGACGGAGGACTCTGTTTGTGTATCTCGAGTTTGTGGGGGGAAGGATGAGTGGAGTTATTGTGTCTCTTGGGAGGTGAGTATGTTTGTGTTGGGGGGGTTGATGCTTGCAGGTCTTGTTACTTCCTGCTGGGGTGGTCTAGTTTGGAGAATGGGAGAAAGGAGGGTTCTGGGTTTTAGTTTACTTGTGTGTGTGTTTAGGCGACACTGGTGTATATTTAGACTTAAGAGAAACACTCACCTTCTTCAGTTGTTACAGAAGCTGAGATAGAGAGAGAGACAGAAGAAAACCCAGACTGGAAGTTCAGCAGGAGAAGATGGGATGATGCTGATTTCTGTATAACAACTATCGTACCATGGTTGTAAGCACCTGTGAATTGGTTTTATCCAAGGTAATAAAGCAAGTATAAGGTAAGCGCCTTCATCAAAATCCTCTCTTATTTCACATAGTCAAGATAAAAAATGTATTTATAAAACACGCCAGTTGGAGAGAGCTTTATGCAGATTTTCAGAATTCACTTTCAGAATTGAACGTGAAAGCAGAAAGCTATAAATGTTTACTCAGTTAAATCATGTTTTGTCATCACAGTGAAAGTGCTCATGGTCCTAGAAATTCCTTACTTAAGGTTTTAGTGTGCACTGTTGCAGTCTTGATTCTGTTTGTTGTCTTGTATGAGTTTTAAATTATGTTAAAATTGCCTAAAATTGTTTGTCTAAGTGTTTAAATTGCTGTATAGAAAAAAGTGAGGTCCTCATGATCCTTAATATATTTTCGGGAGAAGCATGCGCATGGAAAAAACATAAATTTACATAATTCCAAAAATGAGTGTAGCTAAAGTTTTTAAAATCTATTTGTATCTTTCACTGAATTTCCAGACCATCAAAATCAACAGATGTGAACTGGAGGCTTATCCACTCCTGGAATTTGGACCTCTTCACCTAAAACCATTCCTCCAGTGCAGGAATCTTGTCTCTTCACATCTAGATATTATGCTGTTTTGGCTACAGTATTTCAAAACTCCAGTGGATTTTAATGCCAAAACCTTTTCGATAAAAAACCAAGTATATACAGAGTGATGTCAGAACCAGCTTATCTCGCCTCCCCTGCTCCTACCAACCCCCCTCTCTGTGACTACAGTGACTGGTCTCCCTCGTTTTTCATCATCCCATCTGTCTACCTGCTAGCATTTCTGGTTGGTTGTCCTGGCAACAGCCTGGTGCTTTGGGCCTACCTGGACCGAGTGAAGGGGAGGAGGAGAAGGGACCGAAAGCCAGCAGAAGATGGCCAGTTCTGCTGCAGCAACATTTTTAGAAGCAGTCAGCAGCACATTAACAACACTGGCAAATTTCAAAGTTCAAACTGTGGATTTTCCTCCAGGCAAAGCTACAGAACATCCTCCCATTCCTCCACCTCATCCTCTTGCTCTCCCTCCATCTCCCGTCCCTCTTACTCGCTGACTGACTCTCTGATTGCCAGTTTAGCTTTAGCTGACCTTTGTTTCCTTGTGACTCTTCCTCTTTGGGCCGTCTACACAGCAATGGGCTACCACTGGCCTTTTGGGCAACCTCTCTGCCAGATTAGCAGCTTCCTCACAGCTCTGAACATGTATGCCAGCGTGTTCAGCCTGAGCATGCTAAGTGTGGAGCGCTACTGGGTTCTGACTAGGCACCGGCACTCCAGCCACCATGCACCAAGGAGCTGCCCCAGCAAGGCTTTGTGGATACTTGGAGGGATGTGGGTGCTGGCGGGTATACTGGCACTTCCCGGTTTGCTGCTGCGCTCTGTCCGGGAGGTGGAGCTTGACCCTGAATATGAGGACGACTGGCAGCTGGAACCCGCTGATTCCAGGTCTGTTTTCCTTTCTTGCCAGATGGATTACTCCATGCTGACTGGAGCAGAGCTGGAAGAGGAAGAAAAAAACAGGACAGAGATGTGGTGGGCTGCTGCATTAAGTATTAAATCAACTCTTATTGGCTTCCTGCTTCCTTTTGTCATCTTATTGGTCTGCTACTGCTCACTGGTCCAACTACTCAGCAGACATTTCGGACGGGGCCCTCGTCCTGACCGTAGACGGCAGCGCAGACTCCTCAGGGTCATTGTCACGTTAGTGATGGCATTCTTCCTGTGCTGGCTGCCTCTCCATGTCAATAAAACTGTGTCCCTGCTGCTTGAGTTTGGATTTGTCCCATACTCCTGCTCTTTAGATCAGATATTATTGGCTGCTCATCCATATGTCACCTGTTTAGCCTACCTCAACTCCTGCCTGAACCCTCTCCTCTACGCTGCCTGTGACCCATCATTTAGGAAGAGATGCAAAGGAGCTTTCCTCGTGTTGTGCAGGATGAAAAGAAAAGGAGCAAAGGGAAAGGAAGAGCACGAAGCTGAAGGAGTTGAAGAGAAAGGGGAGCAGAGCTCAGCTTTTCCCATGAGGACACAGGAAGAAACAGCAGACAGGACAGAGGAGGAACAGGAGGGGGGAGTTAGGGAGATGGGTGTTGCCACACCTGAAGAACTCAAGAAGTCAAGATATCAGGGTGCAATGTTTTCTGACAATTAAGTAACGCTAACCCTATGTCATGAAAAGTGAAAATAAAATGGAATGCATGACATTGTGTACGTATGTCAGTATTTTCAAAATAAATATTATCATCAGAAGAAGGCATGCAATATATATTCTGGTTTCTGATGCTTTGTTTCCCACAGGAAAAATTCCACCCATTCCATTAAGATTCCATGCAAAACATCCTCTCCGGTCAAATCAAATCTTCTCATGTAACATGAACTGTTTCCATATTTCTGTACATCTTGAATTATTTGTTGATTTTTGTTAAACTGTTTTTATTATTCATTATTAAAATGATGTCAGGAAGTAATGTAAAGAATTTTTTTTTTTCATTTGTTGCAAAGTTTCTGTTGTGATATTTTGATACCATGGTAGCATTTACAGGATATTGTTTTATAGTGATATTATACAGGAAAACTGTTACTCAATAAGGCCCATTTACTAGTTGTTTTTCTCTTTCTCTGTGACCCAAGAATTAATGTGTAAGAATCACAGGATGGTACCTCAAGGTCGAAAATACCACAGAGATCACTCCCTTACTCCCATCCTCCCTTCTTTATCTCTTAGAAAAAGGCTTGTTAAAGGCCAGGTGGTTTGTTTCAGAATTCACTAATGAAAGAACTCTGTGTTCTATGTCTAGGAGTGTATTTCGCTGGGATAATCATAAATTGTAGCTGAACTGATAAACTATACAAAGGATACTTCTTTGCTCAGAGGGCAGGAAGATGCTTCCTTATTTGGTCTGTACCGGTTTGAACTGAGAATCTGCTGACACACGAACCTTTTTCCTCTATATAAACTGTTGTATGATGAATAAACCTTTGAGTTGGTTTGGGAAGGCAACCTGAAGCAGTCTGTGTTTCCTTGTTCTCCCAAGCTACTCCCGACGTTGTAACTAACCTGCTGAACGGCATACCTGAGTGTTACTTTGAATAATTTTGAATCTTATAGGGTAAAGACAAAACTCTGCTTTTGTCTTTACCCTCCGTGCCCACACCTCGGAGGAAACCCGATCCACGGATGACCCGGGACGGAGATTTCTTTCAGTTTCCTTTGAAAAAAAAAAAGATTTATAATCCCTTTATGAAGAACACTGACTTTAAATGGGCAAGTACAGCATCCTACCAGGAGGCACACTTTTCACACAGGTATAATGTTCACCTTTTTTTACCTCTTCAGTGCTGTTGTTACATTCGCTTCTCTAAAGTGTTTCGAATACTCTGGCCCCTCCATTTGTATCAGTAGCAGTACAATGTGACATCATTTAACACCTCAAACAGCAGTCTCCAAAACAGTCATACAGCTCAAACAAGACATGTCATGGATAACTGATTTAAATACTAAGGAAGCCACAGGAAGTTTGAACCTCCATGTACCTTAAAAAAATCAACACAAAAATATAAAGTGTAAGTGCAGTGAGGTAGATGTTCAATAGTAAAAAGATAATATAGGTCAAAGGATATACAGGATACAGTACTAATAATATTGTTAATTTGTATTTATTTTTTCATATATTGTATGTTTAACAATGAGTTAAAGTTAAGGATAAAGTTCTGCCTTTGTGGTTTGTATCCAAATAAGACTAATCAACTATGCCCAAACTAAGAAATTAAGAATCTGACTTTAGTTCAAATTTAATGAATTTCTTGTAAATGACCCAAGATACCCCAGCACTGATACTATCCGGTGATTCTGTCACTTTGGGTATCAGTGGGACAGATGATGAACGACGAGTATCGAACCCCGCCCAGCAGGTGGCGCTGCTGCGCTAGTGAACTGTGTGAAAACCAACATAAAACTCATAGAAGATCATATGCGTCGATGAATAACTGTAAACAGTTTTGTACAGTCACTGAATTTTGGTATTATACTGGTATTCGTTTATATGTTGCATAAAAATCTGCCAATGTTGGATCAAAATTAATTAGTCGGCGGTTCATTTTAAACTTACTTCGTGTCCTTTTGGAAACTGTCTGCAGAAACGTCGCTACTCTCATAGTGAGGGTCGCAGTTACTTACCTATTCTTACCCGAGGAATAACGAAGATGGGAACAGCGCTGATTTATGATGACGAGATGACCAAGTACAAACTGCTCTGGGTTGAGTGAGTAGTAAATCCATGTTTACGTTTATAAAGCTTACGTGGCTAAAAAGAAAAATTTTCAAATGTCTTTTCTGCAAATGTCTGTAGCTTAACATGCCTAAAGTATATCAAGGAGTAAATATTTCATACTGTAATTTCACTGAACGGGTAACTTCATCAAATTATTAGTTTTCTCCCATTACTAAACACTGGCTAAAATGTGTGATCTGTCAGAAGTCATGGGAACCTAAGTTGTTCCTTGTTGCTGGCACGGTTAGTTAGAGAAGACACCCGTTTTGGTTATTACGGTTGCACTTTGTTCGGTCACGTTTAGTCAGGTCGGGGATTTCAGTGTACACCCACCCGGCCCGCTATAGCTGCTACACCACCTGTTTAAAAACGTTGCGAAATAGTTTTTGTTTTCTTTTGGACTAATTGAGGTCTACGTATGGTTTAACTTTCACAGTTAAAAATGAGTAAATGCAATTGTGATATTTATTATGTTTGTGACTCTTAGATGCCAAAATGTGCCGAAAATACTCTAAAGTTTAAGACTCATGCTTTTATTTTGGAAAGACAACGAGCTTTGACCGCCAGCTTTTGTCTATTTGCAGTTCTACTGCTGAAATAAATGTCTTTGTCTGAACCGTGCCGTGTTGCTGGGTTTATTCTCTTTGTTTTTGGCTGCTCTCTTTAGGGGTCGCCACATCTCCCCCAATTTCACCCTATCCTAGCATCCTCCTCTGATATACCAACCCTTTACATGTCCTCCTTCACTACATCTATGAACATCTGAATTAACAGCTTCAGCTCTGTCATCATCAAAGGCAGGTCTCACTACCATCTTGTAAACCTTCCCTTTCACTCTTGCTGCAATTCTTTTGCCACAAATCACCCCTGACATTCATCTGCACCCTCTCCACCTGTGTGCACTCTCTTCTTCACCTCTCTCCTGCCCAGTCTGTTGCTTTGGTTATCTCCTTTACAAAGTCATATTTAGCAAAATGCTGTTTTCCATATCTAACTTCTACAGAGTTCATTTGGCATGTCTCACTGTGTCTTTTATATATTTCTTGTTTTTATATAAGAGCTGAAAGAAATCGAATAGTAAAATGGATCAGTGTCATGTTCATTTTCTAATTAACAAATATTCATTAAGTGTGTAATGTTTTCCTGCAGTCCAGCTTGTAAGATTGAGGTGCCTGAGCGTCTGACTGTGAGTCATGAGACTTTGGTCAGGACTGGCCTGGCTGATCGCTGCGTCTCCGTACCTGTCCGTGAGGCCACGGACGCAGAAATTCTTCTGGCTCACAGGTCATCTTATCTAACTCCTGTCATGAAGGTATGATATAGTTTAGATATTTGTTTCAGTTCACTGAGCTGTGTTTACTTTGCTCCTCTCAACAGTGAGGAATACCTGGAGGCGGTGAAGAAGACTCCTTACATGAGTCTGGAGGACCTTATGGAGTTCACTCGTCAGTACGGTGATGTCTACTTCCACCCAGTAAGTCTCCCACTTAACAGCCGCTTAACAGGAACAGAAAATCTGTATCTGACATCCTCTTCTGTATGTCATTTACCATCCTAGAACATCTACCACTGTGCCAAGCTTGCTGCTGGTGCTGCGCTGCAGCTGGTAGACAGTGTTATGACAGGGAAGGTGAGGAATGGCATGGCTTTAGTCAGGTGAGGCTGAGATACAGCAGTTCTGATATGCACTCATGGCTTGTTCAGTATTAGTGCCTTTGTTTTGTCCATTATTGATGAGTTAATAGGAATGTAAATATCAGGTTAAAAGTCTTTACATTAAAATTCATATTTTTACTAGTTTGTTAGTGATTAACTTTTTAGTAGTTAATGGGCAAAGTGGGCAACAACAAGTGTAAAATCTTCTTTTTTTACATAACTGCTTCTTTTTTATTATTAATAGACCACCAGGACACCACAGTATGCGCAGTGCTGCTAATGGATTCTGTGTGTTCAACAATGTGGCTATAGCGGCTCAATATGCTAAGCAGAAATATGGAGTCCAAAGGTAATGTGACTTTTAGTCTTTATGCTTATTCTGGTAATCATTAAGGATTTTAACGATCCACAAATCCACAGCTGTATGTATTCACCTCAGATTTTGTCTTCAGGGTGTTGATAGTTGACTGGGATATACATCACGGTCAGGGGGTGCAGTATTGCTTTGAGGATGATCCCAGGTGAGTCTTTGATAAAGGAGAAGCAGATGTTGTCTGCTTGCGTTTCAAATTCTGCTCACTGTGTTTGTTGTTTTCCTTTTCACAGCGTGCTCTACTTCTCTTGGCACCGCTATGAGCATCAGAAATTCTGGCCTCATCTGAGAGATTCTGACTACGACATTGTTGGCAAAGAGAAAGGGGCAGGATTCAATATAAATGTACCATGGAACAAGGTCAGAAATACTGCACACTTATGGTTTCATTATGGGGTTTTTTTCTATTTGCTTCTTGCTTTATCTTAAGCCTAGTTCACAGTGTCACATAATGCCACCACCAGTGAGGTTATGTTTGTGGTAGTGTGTACATGCATGCTATTTGCTTTCCTGATTGTGTGTGTACAAGCTGTATGTGTGTTTTATTCTTTTACTGAAAAGACCTCATCATGCTATTTCAGGTGGGCATGGAAAATGGTGACTATCTGTCAGTCTTCTGTCACGTTCTTCTGCCAGTTGCATATGAGGTGAGCCATTCCAAAAATTACCTTTTTCCTACCTAAAGGCAGGTGATCTATAAAATGTTTGGTTTAAGCATACAACTGTTTTTGATAGTTTTGCCCAGACTTAGTCTTGGTGTGTGCGGGATTTGACTCAGCCATCGGTGACCCAGAGGTATGACATATTTATTAATGTCATTATCTAATTACATGCATGCACTATAAACCTCTGCATCCACTCGCTTACTGTTATACTTACATTTAGGGTGAGATGTGTGCCACTCCAGATGTCTTTGCCCATCTGACTCACCTGCTGATGAACCTAGCAGGAGGAAAACTGTGTGCTGTGCTGGAGGTCAGGCCGCCCAGCCTATACAGCTAAAACATGGAAACAAGAAAACAGCCTGTTAATGTTCTGTTGTCTGGGAACTTGTGTTTTTGTGTTTTCCAGGGGGGATACAACTTGACTTCCCTCGTCCAATCTGTGTGTCAGACAGTCCAGACATTGCTTGGAGATCCTGTGCCGAGACCTGCAAGCCTCAAAAGTCCCTGTATAAGGTGTGCATCACAATCAGTCAAATTTGTGTCTCAAAGTTTGTGTGTTTTATAACTGCAGCAATTTAATTCTTCTTTTTCAGTGCACTTGAATCTCTTCAGTGTGTCCGATCAGCTCATAAGGCCTACTGGTCGTGCCTCAAACACGCAGGTAACCATAACAGAGCCTTTAAGGGACCTGAGGCTGCAGGAGTCTGATAACCTCATTTCTTTCTAACTTGTTTCCATCCTCAGTCAAACGGAGTGATGTAGCATCACTTAGCTGAGGGTTTGCTAGCTGTATTTCACGTTTACGTCCGTTTGAACTTCTCATCACTATAAAAGACATGGTCTCAAAACAGTTACTCCCTTCTTCAGCTGATCTGCCCGCCTCCACCATCAGCACCAAACGGATTAAATTAGGAGAAGGAGAAGAAACGACAGAGAAGGGAGAAGAAGAAGAAAAGGTCACGGAGGAAAAGGTGTGGCCTGAACCTCCAAAACGCGTCACTCCTCCAGTATGTGCTGCTTTAGTGCTCCCTGATGACGTGGCTTGCCCGGAGGGATGCGAACGCTTCAGCTTCTCAGAGGATCTTGACCCACTCTTAGCCAGCAAGTTAAGGTATGGATAAGTGGGTTGTTGTGGCTCATTTCAGTTCATGGTTTTCACCGTAACTGGGTTTGAAATCTTTTTTTTTCTCTAAAACAAGGGAGAGTTTCCTCAGAGACGCAGATGACAGTACTGCTTTTATAACCGTCTCCAGTTTTATAGCCCTGACAGAGAAAATGGAGAAGAATGAGGTAAAGCCATAATGTTGTTTGTTTCTTTTATGTGAGTGCTATTATGATATCATGTCTTGTAAATGCAGTTTGTGCTTTGCTGAGCTGCCTACATGATATAATTTTAATTCCCGGCTCTCAGATCTGCAGTGGCCTTGCACTGGTGCCTGACGTCACCAAGGCGATGACAAGCATTGTCCAGCACGTTACAACTGTTCTCAGCAACCGGTATAACAACCTCGACTTAATCAAATCTTACACCTTCTGCTCTTTTTAAATATCAGCTAGAGATTAAAAATGATTAGAAATATTCTTACAGGAAACACACACATACAAAGAATATGCTTGGTCACTTTGCAAAGGAAATGCAGTCTAAACTATTGTAGCTCAGATTTGCACCTACAGCAAATTTAGAATCACCACTTAACCTAAATCCATGCATATCTGGGAGTTATTTGGAACTAATATTTTTATGTACTTTTTGGTGAAATAATCTAAATAAAATATCATTATCTTTCTCGTGTTGTGAACAAGTGAAGTCATTTTATTTATACAGACAGATTTTAGGACGTAACTGCAAAATTAGTAAAAAATATCACTTGGAAGTGAAGATACTTGCAAAGCACAACTATGGCACAACTACAGAGGTGCAAGTTAACATGATAAATATAGCCTACTAAATATACCGCTGGAGTGCGCTTGTATATTGAAGTTTTATTAGCAAGATTGCAATCTGCTTTGTTAAAACTTGTCTTTATATATGCAGCGTTTTGGTCGTCTGTGTGGGTGACGGGAATGTCCCAAGCCATATTACAGAAGACAGGCGAGTATCATTTATGCTCTCTGTTTTAGTCTTAGTAAAACCAAACTATAAGGCACAATTGATGCAATAAAACACACTATTTGTCCATAACGGCGAGGACATCATGCTGAAAAAATCTTTCTGTTTTCAGGGAAACACTTGTGGTGCAGATGGGCAGTGCACAGACTGAGGAACAGAGCTGCAAATATTACATTCGTGTGTGTCTGAAGAAGGTACTGCTGCTTGCTTTGTAATCACATTTAATATTTGCCAGAAATATACACTCACACATCTCGCTAGTCAGCATTAGCTCCCTTTCCTTTAAAACTGCATCATTAAATATTCAGAGTTTCTGAATTATTACACAGTTGCTAAGGATTTCTGGACAGAAACCTTTATGATACAGCTCTTAAAGGCGACTGAGATGTATTTTTCTGCATAGACAATTTGAGTAGGTGTTTTTTTTTTTTTTTGCTTTTGTTTTTTAAATGTGTTTAAATGCATTTGTTTGTTCACCCACAGGGCTGCAGTGACACGTCAGGGTTCACACAGGCTGTGTTTGGCCTCCTCCTGCCCCTTGGGTATGAATATGACCCCGGTCTTGTTGTGTTGGTTCGAATGCCAGATAGTGGAGTCAGTGACAGTTTGTGGCAACAACTAATTGGCCTACTGCAGAGCTTTGCACTTGGACATACACTGGTGGTACTGCAGGTAAGAGTGCTGGGGAAGATTTCATAAAGGCACACTAGATGTCTTCAACAATGTAGAGCTGCCAGGCAGGAGCTCTGGAGATATATGGTTGGATGGATGTAGTGAAGGAGTCTTTGATGAAGGTAGTGGAGGATATACAAAGTGTTGGTGTGACAAAAGAGGATGCTAGGGATAGGGTGATATGGAGGCAGACGATCTACTCTGACAATCCCTAAAGGGAGCAGCTGAAAGAAGAAGAGAGTAGATGTCCTCTAATTTTGCTATATTGTGAAACCTTAAGAAGCATTTTAAGAGGAGTTGGCAGCATGTTTGCATACTTAGTGTTCGGTATTAATTCATTTACTTCTTAATTTCAGGAGGAGGAGAAGGCGCTTATCGGACTCACAGCATCCTCCCTCCTCGGTAACCCAGCCGCCTCTCTGAAGCAACTTCAAGCCCCGCTAACAGAAGACACGGAGGCCATAGAGAAGCTGAGACACAGGCTGCAGGCAGACTGGAAATTCCTTCAGACCACAGGTGAGTGCAGCAGCATCACATTTGAAATCAACATAAATATCCACAGATCTTAGAATAACTGCTACTGTATTAACGGGACTTTCTGTCTTCTAAAAACAGCACCACAAACTCAAAGAAGTGATGAACACTGAGGATGGAGGGTGTCATGGACTTTTTGATACTTTATTTTTGGTAAATTATGACAGCAGTTGTCCTGCTGCTTAGAAATTATGCATGTGTTATAATATTCATTCAAGCAATATCACAATCAACGCAAGCTTTTGCCGTCTCATAAAAAAAAATCTATTCAATGACTTAAACAGTGTTTAAGTTATTTGGTAAGCTGGATTTACCTGTACTGTTGTATCAGCGTATGAGCGTTATCAGCCTTGTTGACTAAACAAAAATGATGACGTTTACAGATCTCCGGCTGACATTTATCTCTTTTGTCACAACAGTTTTCTGCTGGTTACATTTGGATTTTTTGAATTTTCATTTCTTTTAACAGGAAGTTCCACTTGGATCAAAATCAGTTTCACAGGAGACCTAGCCAAGTGCAAAGAGCTAATAAATTTTACAGCAATATAAAAAATATTTAAGCAATCACTGATCAAAATAGTTATACTTTCTTTTTTTTTGTGCCATTCACATGATTGAATAGTTGACTGATTTTTGCTGTAAATTGAAATGTTGTGTCTTGTATAGCACACGTCATGTAATTTAACATGAAGTTTTCATAAGCAACTTTGATATTCTCTGTAATAAATGTTACATTTGTAAAAGAAAAAAATGGCTGCCAAATAGTTTTTTTGCTTTTGTACTTTTTCGCCCCAAGGTATCAGTATTGTGGTTTGAACATCGGCATTGTATTGCTATCTTTCCTCACAGAGGTGTTGTTGACCACCAGGGAAGCTGTTTGAGTAGGCTTGCATGCTCACTCTCAACCTTTGAGGGCACATTTAACAGTTTTTAGAGCCTTTCAGTCTTCATTCATTCAAGTAAGGAGACCTCTTTTCTGCTGGTCTATATGTGTCGGCCCTGCAGTCCACTGGTGACAGGTCCAGGGTGTAGCCCTCTTTTGCTGGGTGACAGCTGGGAAAGACGTCAGTCTCCTCATGATCCAGAGTTAGATACAAACAGATGGGAAAGCTGATAGATAAATCACACTAACTATACAGTTCAAAGGTTTGGCATTGATCATAGAAAGGCAGATCTTATATATTGTATTTTAATGTAATTTTTCACCACATTTTACAAGCATAAATCTAGAATCTAACTTTTTATATTTACTTTAAGGTTATGTGTCTCCCCGTTCCTTTTTTCCTGTTGTAACAGCTGTGAAAGGTGATGTTTTAGGTGATGTTCTGAAATGATCTCTGCATATCTTTGAATTCAGAGATCACCACAATTCTTTGTAAGCCATGTTTCTTGTGAGACTCACAACAGAAGACTTTTGAGCCTCTCATCATGTGAGATAGAAATGGGTGAGTCATCTGATCACCTAAACTGGAAGTTAATTCAGTACAGTTTAATTAATGGGTCACATACATCCCAGTTTGATCTCAAGTGTGCCAGACCAGTAATACCATGTATAAAAAACAAACAAAAGCCTCGTTTAATTTCTTGTTTCCTTTATTTCAATTTGAGCCGTAGCCAAGATTTTAAAACTGAAACCACAGGTGATCCATTTCCAGCTTCCACTGGCTCTGCTGTCATTACATTGTGTCTCACAGTTTAGCTGCAACTAAACAGTGGTACTTATTATTTTCATGAACAGTGATGTGTAAATCTGGAAACAGTTTTAGGTTTCCAATTTTCACTCCTGTGCAATGATACGATTACCACAAAATGAATAATTCGTTATATTGAGATAAAGAGTAATTAGAGGTAAAAAGAGTAATTTATTGGTTAACTCCAACGGCTTGGTACGGACGTTTTTTGGGGGGAGGCTATCTATTGTGCCCCCCTCAAACCCATGGGATGACGCACACGTTGCTTCCCAATCCGACCTGCGGGTGGCGCTGTTGGAGAGCCGGCGAAGCAATGAAGGTTTTACTCACACGTGAATCAGTGGTTTGTGTAGATGCCCACCAACCGCCGCTCCTGCTGTTGTTTGCCTGTCTGTTGTCACTGTGATTGGACCGTTTTTCCTGTGCCTGAACGCAGCACAGGGAGGAGTGAGCCTTATTAACGGAGCACTGTGAGAGGGAGAGAGAGGGAGCTTAGGTACACAGAGACACACAAACATGTCCGGGGCTCCGACCGTGTCTACGAACCCTCAGACCGCAAAAATGAAAAAGGACGAGTCCTTTCTCGGGAAATTAGGAGGAACCCTGGTCCGGAAGAAAAAGTCCAAAGAAGGTGGGCCATTCGAAGTTTTGTTTTTCTTATTTTTGTTTTACATGATGAAAGATCCCCATTTTTCTTTTTCCTGCTCGTGTTTCTGTCCATGGTGCTGCAGTCTGCGCTATGGAAATATTCTCCCGTGGGCATCACTCGCAGCTGATTCACTGACTGTTCGCATGACTTCTAACAGGAGGTGTTCAGTGTTGCTTTCACCCGACTCGTGCTTCTTGTTCCCCTTGTTTATTGTAGCCAGTTGATAAATTCACTGATTTTAAGTTTAAACTGTGTTATTGTAGTTCAGATACAGTTAAAGACGTATACACGAGTCAAGGAAACCCAATTTATTTGTGATGAAGAGTGACACAAAGCTTCGCAGCAAGTCCACGGGCTTGGCACATGAGGCAAGTACATATAAATAGATCGCACACTAGACCGGAATCCAGGTTTATGAAAATAAACATGAGTATCATTGCTATTCTAGCAGGATTAGTCACAATTATCAACTGTTTTGTGATCTCCCACAACAGTCCCTGAGGCAGCTGTGAAATTTAACGCCTGTGTGTGCATTACAGTGTTTGTGCTTTCTATGTGTGCTCTCCAGCCATGTGTTTGTAATCTCCACTCAAGGGCGGTCGCCAGAAGCCACACGAAGGCATTTTAATGGGTTAGGAGTCCCATTTTAAAGAGTATTTAAGACCCTCAAACCACTTTAATTTGCTTGAATATGCATAAAATGAAGCACATGGTGTCACTGTAAATACACAGAAAATAGTTCACAAAATAATTCACAGAAAATAGATTACGCGTTAGATCTTCAGTAAATTGTTTTATTTATTACTTGTCAAGACATTTGATTAAGCAAAAATGTCCAAAACCTATGTAGATCTGTTGTCTTCAATCAGATTCATGCGATTTTAGATGGAACACGTTTGCATTTTTGTGTCTGGTTAGACACTTTCTGCATCTTTCTTTATAACTCCCGTCCTAATAGTGGAGTAACTATTAGTTACAGTCTCAATGTACTGTATTTCATTGCTTACTTTTCACAACGAATAAAACGGTAAGTTTTAAGGAGGTTAAAAAAGAAAAAAGAAATGTGCTGATGACTACTGAGGGAGTTAATTAGATGATAACTGAGAGGTGGAGTCCTGTGAATTACAGTAATAGTCCTGCTGTTGTTAAAGCTTCAGCATATTCTGCTTCAGTGAGCTAGATTTGCTGTCCATCAGTATAACTTGCACAACCAAGCAAGCATTTCTCACAAGTAATTTATATATTACTTTGTTTTTGGTTTTCAGAGTCACACTGCTCAGATTTCATGGTTGCTGTGCCATTCCTGATTTTTAGCATCCATGGGAGATTGGTAAAGAGTAAAGAGAAAGCTGCAAAGCAATGTGACAGTTAACTTATAAAAGCTCCAGAACCTCACATTAATTTCACCAACACGCAGCTCTCATTGCTACATGTGATGACTATTTCAGATGTGGACAGCCAATCCAATAAAGCCACAGAACCAGTGCCTGCAGTTCTTGCAGCTTGTGAGAGCGCAGTGCCCCTGTGTGGTCAGTGGCTATTAAAGCTCACATAAAACGCAGTTCTGTGCAAGGGAGGCAGTCATAGTGACGTTTGAAGGGAATATCAGTATAACAAAAGAAAGGCATGTGAAGTTTGTGTTGCTAATGGAGCGCAGTGTGTAACTGGGGCTTCTGTTACTTGCGGGTGTGACGCTTTATCTCCCTTAAAGAAAACGCCCAGCAGACTAGTTGTTGTTGGAAAAATGCTTCACTTCTGATGAATAATTAGCGATGGGAGTTTGCACTCCTCAGCACCGCTTCCTCTTACTCAATTAAAAGATGTTGCTTAAGGCGATGTAATGCAACGTGTACTGTAAATAAAAAAAAATTGGGGGGAAAAACAGAGAGAGAGAGAGAGAGATGGTGCTTCTATAACACAATATAAAGTTGTTGTTGTTGTTCATCCATCCATCCATTCGCGTCCGCTTATCCTTTTCATGGTCGCGGGGGGCGCCGGAGCCTATCCCAGCTGTCATAGGGCGAGAGGCAGGGTACACCCTGGACAGGTCGCCAGTCTGTCGCAGGGCCAACACACAGAGACAGACAACCATTCGCACTCACATTCACTCGCACAGTCACACCTATGGGCAATTTGGATTAACCAATTAACCTATCCCCACTAAGTGTTGTTGTTGTTGTTGTTGTTGTTTTTTAAATTTTGATGGGAGTGGTCTGTTCCAGGATCAGATTTAGCTGCATGAAAATGTGTATTTATATGTGTACCATTGAACTCATTGGCGCACATATAAATACATTTATATTTGTAGCAACATGCTAAATGACTGTGTTTTTAGGGAAGTGCACTACATTTTATTTGCAGTAAGCTCCATGCGTTTTAGTTTTACAGTTCATGGTTTTAAAGATTTCCATTTGAGTTATCCCAATCAGGTAAAAATTGCATTGTAAGCCTCAACCTATCCTTAACCTCAAACAGGTCACTGTGGATGTATTTAAGAGCTAAATACTATGCTTTGCACCACCATCACCAAAGCACCAATTTAGGGAATGTTATTTTGGAATAATGGAAGTCCTTCCCTTCAAAAGAGTTTAGAGACTTGAAGAATCAATCCCAGGGTGTTGTATGTGGATAGTTAATATTGGCTCATAGTCCTGCATTTCTGGAGCTGGTCTCACACAGAACAAGTGTGTCTTTATTCCTTGATAAGCTGACAGGAAGTCTGTTTTTCACTGACAAGGCTACTTCCTTTTGTCAGCATAAGGCATGTTGTAACAATGATAGTTAAGTGAATAGGGAATGAGAAGACTGTGTCACATCCTTGTTGTCGTAGGATGGATGCTGACAACAGTAAGTGATCAGTGTTTCTTACCAATGTGTTTCAATTTTCTTTATTTCCTCTTTTTTTAATTTTTAAAAAGCACATTTTTTATAACGTATATTTATATATTTTTAAAGTGCAGCTTATACAAAACTGCTAAACACAGAATATATTTAGCATAATGTTGATTTGCTTTTAGAAATATCATTATATTTGCTATTTAAAAGTTTAGCTTCCACAAAATGTATTTTATGTTTCAAGCAGTTGTGCAAGTACTTGATCAGGGTGGCTCGTTCCTGTAGATCCTGTTGCATAAAGACTTGAAGGATACAGCAAAAAAAAAAAAAAAAAAGTGTATTTATAAGTTTCTTAATAGGAGCTTTTGCAAAATGTCGTTCAAGAGTGCACAGTTAGTACCAAAATGGGGATTGTTAAAGTAATTCAAGCACTACAGTACTCATTGGAGAGTGCTGAAAATGTCATTTTCTTCTATAAAAGTGGCTCGTTAATATTGTCTCATTTGCTACATTCACTAAGAGTTGGCAGATGTATGCTTCTGCTAATATGTTGTTCCTGAAAAAATTATCCTGGATTAAATAGCTTTGGACTTCCTTTTACCTTTTGACCTTTTCTTTAATTAGAAAAAGAACACGCTAACATCCTTATAGCAGGAGAGAAAATTAACAGAACAGCTCAGGAGGAGCAAGAAGAGGTATATGCAAGTGTAGACACAGTAAATACAAGTAAATAAAACGTGTAGTTTATTGAGCTAAATAGTTGAAATTGTCATCTTTAATATCCATAGAAAGAAGCCTCTGAAGCGAGCTCAGTGTGATCTCCTTGCTGCTGTTGCTCACTGGTGCGTGTGCTGTTGTAAATAACCAGAGCTATATTTAAGGCCCAGTCTGTCCTCTCCATACTGCCGCATTATTTATATCTTTCCCCTGTGAGTCAGTAGAACTCCACCCCCCCTCAGGGAGTTGTGGAGCCACACAAGTCGATTTCAGTCTGCTTTACGCTGTTATTTTTGATGCAGGCTGGTTATCCATATAACAGCTTTTTGTTTTCTTTTAATTTAAAGCAAAAGAAATTTGACCATGTGCTTCTGCTGATTTGAGTGATCACTGTTCCCTGTTTGCATGGCGCTTTGCAGTATAGCAGATTTTTTTCTCGAATACGTCCAGTGAAGCTGGCGTAAGATAAATGTTCTTGACTGCAGGCTTTGTTTGTATTGAATTAGTGTACTGTTAACAGACAGTCACTGCCTGATTGATAATCTCCTACATTACAACAGGCTCCGAATGAGCCTGAGAATCGAGCCCTGAAACCAGTGTACTAGTTCTTATGTTGTTGTGAAAAGATTAGACTGTAACTAGTAACCTTTAGTTACTGACCAGTAGACAAAACATTTTAGAAAATGCTCTTTTAAGTGTTTAAACACTATGCTGCAGTTATAATACAGGTTGCACATTACAGTAAATTAGTGATTGTAATACCTCATCGGTCATCCTTTGTCTTTGTCCATGGTTTAATATCCCAGTGGCAGCCGGTGTGTCGGGATGATGTGGTGGGTTTAGGTCCACTGTGGTGTCTTTTTTTCTGTTACACACACACACACACACACACACACACACACACACACACACACACACACACACACACAACACACACACACACACACACACACACACACGGACATTACGTTCAGCCTCTCCTGTAACTGGACCGCATAGGTGGGGTGGAGGGTTGTGACAGAAATACACGTGATGACGCCCCTGACAGCCTCACACACACAATTCACACACACACACACACACACACTCTCACACACAAACACACACTTATATACACAATTGCTGCGCACACATACACTCCTGATTTTTCTACCTTCCCTCACTGCCATTCGGACCAAATCGGTTGATTTCTTGATTTGTTGTGAGGACATGGCGGGCCTCCTGTGTGGGACCAAGAGGAAGCAACAAGGTAATGTGAATTTCATGCTGGAGTTTAGGGAAGCTGGATGTGGGAAAGGGGAACCAGAACCTGTTACCTTAGTGCAGTGTTGGTTTAAATGCAGCAGCGTGCTGTTTCGGTTGTTACAAGTATTTTTACTTTTCTGTATAGATCTGCTGCAGTAATTGAGTTATCTTTAATAATCTGACCATTTTAAACAGAGATTTTCTTTTTTTGGTGTGACTGTAAAGCAACTAAGCTGTACCCAAAAGCAGCAGCAATGGAGCCAGAGGGACACGAAAGGAGGAAGTAGCACAATTATGATAAAATGCAGCAAAGCAGTTCTGTAATTACAAAGCAAACTGCTGATCTGCAGAGAGATTCAGCCTTTTATCCAGTTATCGGCTCTTGTGAGAAGGCTGAATCAGATAATAAAGCTGCAAGGACCCTTCCTCCTGGGCTAATTGTGTTTATCCTCCCTTCACTCATGCTTTGAAGTTATCATTTTGTTCAGATTGTAGCACGCTGCTGCACATTTTGTTTAATTTTATTCTCAATTTGAGAAATTTGTCCAATGCTTCTAATATGAAAACCTTAAAGGGCAGACAGTTTTTTTTTGTTCTCATGTTTTCCTCAGCCATCCTGAGCTGCTTTATAAACAGTGAGTCGGTGAGGTGACAGATTTGAGACCACTGATTGTGGTCCTGCCTTTTGCGTGGTTTAGAAAGTGAAATTGCAGAAAGATAAAAGGCAATGTGGCCATTAGGGCTAAAAAGCCTTTAAATCCCTGGAGAATCACAGTAGCCAGGAGTGAAAGCATCTTAGAAGAAATTGATTTTATTAAAAGCTAGACTCAAAGTGTGTGTTATTTATAAGTGTTGGAGTCCCTGCTTGTTTTAATTAGCTGGAGTGATCAATTTTCCCCAACCCAATTTAAAAAACAAAAAACGCAACAGCTTACTCTAAAATTAAGATGTAAAGTAGGGGTTCTAGCTTTTTCCTAATGAATAAAAGTACAAAGAGTAAAAATGAGAAAGTTACAGATGTGTGACACCTGTGCCACCAGCTCCAAGTCAAATCAATTTCAATATTTGAAACCAAGAAAACGTCCTGTGCGTGCAATTCTTTCAAAGCTTCTTACGAAACGGCGAGGATAAGATTGAAGGAATAGTCTGTCTGTAAATTCATATATTGTTCTTTCATCAAATCTCAAACTGTCAAAAAAAATCTAATGTTTAAAAGTGGTACCGGTAAGTCAAAACTGTGTGGAAGTGAAACTATTGCCTAGACGACTGAACAGATCATTAGAGGGGCGGAGCACACCCAGCAAATAGAGACCAAACTGGCACCACGCTTTCCCCATGAATTTTTGTGGTGATCCAGGATTACTGGGTTACTGCTTACCAGTAACCCTGACAAGTGTTTGCTTTCTGCTCTCTCATTCGCTCCTCCTTTTCTTTCTCTCCCAGAGTCTTTGCACGTCTCATTGTCTGTCGGTCTACCTTCTGTACTGTCTGTTTGCCAGAACGTTTTACAGGTTTTACAGTTTTTTGTGTGTTGTTCTTTTTCAATAAGTGAGTGATCTCCATGAGGAGGGAAAGAATGCCATCAATGCCCCCTTGCTTCCCTCAGGCACAGACATCCATCCAGAAGATACACTGCTGGGTATGTACATAATAACCACATGCAATCACCGCCAATAATATAATATATGACGTAACCTTTATTTGTGTTCATTTCGGACTTAATCTTACTTCAGTGCAAAAACAAAATGCTGTTTTTGCTGCTGGGTGTCAGAGGTTACTGGGGTTACAAACCATAATATGAATATGTTGACACATGTTGACTAATGGGGAGTTTGACAGTGAAGCAGCAGGAAATGAAAGTGGGTGGAGTGGAAACGCCTTTGTCTTCACTGTGAATCACTGTTGACAGGAGTGTGAGGGTGAACACTGTATATTCAATTTTTGTGGCTTGAAGTTTGTACTTGTGTGAGACATTATTATGCCTACAATTGAAAAGCTGTTAAAACATTTAAAGTTGGAAAGAAGAAATTATATATGCTAGTATAAACAATTATTTTGTTTTCCACAGAGGAAAATGCTGAGAGGATCATGTTGGACCCAACATCAAGGGAAAATCCTAAATTTAAAGATCTCTTAAAGGTAGATTTGGTTTAACCTTCTGTGCATAAGCATCTCTGCATTGATTCAGTGCGATCAGAACAATGACAAAATCATGCGAGAAGAACAAGAGTACAGAAACTGTTCAAAGTTCGATTGTATTCTGATGTGCATCCAGGTCCTGATCGACTGGATCAACAGTGAGTTGGAGGAAGAGAGGATCATAGTCAAGGACCTAGAGGAGGACTGTTATGATGGACAAGTATTCCAGAAGTTATTTGGTGAGAGTGATTCCTCTCAAAATCACTGATCATGATTTACAATATTTGCAGTTTTAGAAAATATCAAATAAATGCGCTCTGTCAGCACTGAGTGTATTGAAAATGCAAAGTTTAATCATAAACTTTCATCTAACATCAAACTTACAACAGCACAACATTAATGCTAGAACAAGCTGCACTAACACAAACAAAATATATCACAATGATGGATGGTATAATTGGCTGGTTGTTGCAATCTGTTGCTTTAGTTAAACTATGCATTTTCAATAAACCAAACATTGGTTATATTCAAGAGTTTCCTATTGCATGATGATTTCTTATTGAAGTAGTACTGCAGTGTTATCTTCTAATAGTGACAGTATAAATTTGGGGCAACTGCTAATGTGATTTAGCGCTATATAAATAAAATTGAATTGAATTAAAAAAAACCAGCTGAATTAATACCCACTAAAGTTATATTATCCTGGTTGAGCATTGAGCATGAATGTTGTTCAGTTCAGTTCAATTTAATTTAATTTAATTTAATTTAATTTAATTTAATTTAATTTAATTTAATTTAATTTAATTTAATTTAATTTAATTTAATTTATACAGCACCAACTCACAACAACAGTTGCCTTAAGGTGCTTTTTATTGCAATGTAAAGACTCTTCAATAATACAGAGAAAAACAAAGAAAACCCCAATAGCTCGCTATGAGCAAGCATTTTGGCGACAATGGCAAAGAAAAACTCCCTTTTAAGAGGAAGACAGCTTTGCCAGAAACAGGCTGAGGAGGGGCAGCTGTCTCCTGCCACTGGTTGGAGGTGAGGGGAGGAAGACAGGACAAAGACACACTGTGGAAGACAGATTACTAACAACTGATGATTAAAGTGTAGTAACTAGTGTGTAAAGATATAGTGGGTGAGAGAGGGGGGAAAAAGATGAGTGAAGAAGAAACATTCAGTGCATCATGGGAAGTCCCCAGCAACCGTGGCCTAATTCAGTGTAAGTAAGGGAGCATTCATCGTCACCTGATTCAGACCTAACTATAAGCTTTATCAAAACGGAAAGTTTTAAAGCCTAATCTTAAAAGTAGAAAGGGTGTCTGTCTCCTGTATCCAAACTAGGAGGAGCTGGTTCCACAAAAGAGGGGCCTGCCGGCTGAAGGCTCTGCCTCCTATTCTACACTTAAATACTCTAGGAACTACAAGTACGCCTGCAGGCTATGAACAAAGTCTCCTATTGGGGTGAAATGATACCCTGTGGTCTTTAAGATAAGATGGGGTCTGATTATTTTTATGTTGTTATTATGTGATGAGAAGTATTATAAATTCAATTCAGGATTCTGCTTGTAGAAACATTTTTGTGAACACTTTATAAACATTAACATCTCTAGAGTTACACTATAGTAAAATACATGTTTAATATACTGTGTTAACAACATAAACATTCCTTTGTTGCCTGAAATGTGTCTTCTTCATTGTGCTGCAGTGTCTAGTAAGGTCTTTGGATCCCCCCTTGTGACTGGATTCTGTCATTACAGTATAAAACTGTTAAACACTAACAAATCAGCATTTTAACTAATTGTATAAAAGTTACAATATCTATCTATCTATCTATCTATCTATCTATCTATCTATCTATCTATCTATCTATCTAGGGGTGCAACGATACACAAAATTCACGGTTCGGTTCGATACTTTGGTGTCACGGTTCGATATTTTTTCGATACAAAAAAATGTTCATGCCTTTTTAATTTGTCATTTATTAAAATTATAAATATATATTTTAACTCAAAAGTACAGTTTTTAAATTTAATGTTGCTGAAACAACAAAGTAATAAAAAATAAATCTATCTGATCGAGAAATCACTCATCTTTGGAAAAGAGAGTTTATTACAGAGAAATGGCTCTTTCCAAAATAAAAGCTATACTATACGCTTCTTCTGGGCTATATTCTCAGCAGCATATTAAACATATCAGGTCCCCATAAGGAGAATCATGTGCTAACGGCTGTCTAAATGACTCGGGTAAAGTTTGTAGCATGCGTGCTTGTTGTTTTTGTCTGCTTCCACTTGTCTTTGCACTAGGATGCTGTCGGAGTAAATGTGCAGTCATATTCGTTGTGTTCCCACTAGTGCTGTCAGCGTTAATCTGAAATGACGTTAACGCCACAACACGGAAAATCTCGGTTAACGAGCTATCGCGAATCGCCCTGCGTGGGGCTGGACGGCCAACACGTTAACGAGCTAACTGTGCTAACGCAGTAGTTCTCACTAATGTAATTGAGCATTGCGTGGCACATCCGACATACTGTTTTACTTTTGTCCATGACGCGCTTACCTTCAGGGTCATACGTCACATGAAGACCAAAATAGTTCCAAACGCCAGATCTGAATGAGGGTGGGGGAGGTTCAATTTGCCATGTTGCAACGAGCTTACTTCTGTCTCGCTAGCTTGCGCTCAGTGGATCTGCACTCGACAGTGCAGCCTAGGCGGAGTAGTCGAACGCAGATCCACTGAGCGCTCAACACAGACAGCATCGTCAGAAGAAAGTTGATAAAATAAATTAAAATTTTGTATTGTTTGATACATATGCGTACCGAACCGAAAGCACTGTATCGAACGGTTCAATATCGATACGAGTATTGTTGCACCCCTACTACCTACTATCTATCTATCTAGATAGAAGCAGTTCATACAAAATGCATACATAATTGCATATGTTCCTGAAGTGTTAAGAACAACAGTTAAAATGCACAGCAAGAAAATATTTTCTGTGAATTTTGATGTGTGATTTCTTGCATTTAGTTTTCACGCTCCTTTGTCACTTTGGTTCTTTGTGAAAATTTAGCCTCACAGAGTTAGTCTGCATTTATAGATCCACATTGTTGTCTGCAAAGGATATTTCTGTCTATTTATTTCATTTTTTTTTAACTAGACCTAATCTGTTAGCTTCTAATTTTTCGATGCTTTCTTACTTTTCTCTATGTGGTAAAACACAACTTTCTCCTGTTTTTGCGACAGAAAAGTTGTCAGGCAGAAAGCTGAACGTGGCGGAGGTGACGCAGTCAGAAATTGGCCAGAAACAGAAGCTTCAGACGGTGTTAGAAGCTGTCAACGATGTGCTGAGGCCTCATGGCTGGACCGTTGAGTGGAGTGTAGACTGTGAGTTTTTGTGGTGACTTCAGTGATATGCATGAATTACAGAACTCTTAAGGAGCATAGAAAACATCTGAAGCATTAGAGGTTGATATATTTGGAATTTTCATCATCTTTCATCAGATGTTCACTTCCTAACAAAAATCTTTCAACTGCATCCATCCTAAGATACGATAATCACCATGAGTCATCATCATCATTAGGATTTTATTCTCAGACTTTGAAAGGCTTCTGTCAGAGCCACAGAAAAGATTGTAAAATCTCAATAATACTCCCCCTCACAAGAGACAATATGTGAGTCCATCAGCACTTTTAGTTTGTGTTGTTAACGATGACTTTACTACACCAAGTCGTGCTTTATCCTTTGTCAGCTGCAGGTTTTTGGTGTTTCTTTTTGAAAAGTGGTGTTTTTTCAAAAGTTTCAAAAATTGTTTACATTTTTATGTGAACTCGCTCTTTGAAAGAGGGTTTAATCTTCACTTTATTTATTTTTACAGCTATCCACTCAAAGAACCTGGTGGCTATCATCTATCTTTTGGTGGCTCTCGCTATGCACTTCCAGGCCCCAATCAGGCTGCCCGAGCACGTCTCCGTACAGGTGGTGGTGGTCAAGGTAAAGTCTCCCATCAGTTTCCCTACATCTGTGTCCCTCCCTGAGCCTGGTTTCTTCCTGTTAAAAGGGAGTTTTTCCTTCCCTCTGTTGCCAAGTGCTTGCTAATGGGGTTCTTTTTCTCTTTGTATTATTGTAGGGTCTTTATGTTACAGTATAAAGCATCTGGAGGTGGCCATTGTGATTTGGTGCTATATAAATAAAATTGAATTACACTAAATTGAGTTACAACCAAAATAAGAGAAAATGGAAACAAGTAGAGATTTGTTTTAAAAATCACAAATAAATCATTAGAAATTGTTTTGATGGTATCTTACATCAACTAAAGAGCTGTGTAAAAACACAAATAGCCAAGACCAATCCAAAATATGATACAATGAGGCATGTGACAGCTGTTTCTATCTCTCTTCATCTTTCTGTCTATTTTTTTTTACTGCCCATGTGATTATCATAATGGTGTATCATCAAATGTATTTATTCTCTCATGTAATAATGTAATCAGTAGAATTTATCGCATGTCTGTGCAGAAACGAGAAGGCATCCTACAGACAGCTCTAATGACCAAGGAGCTGACGAGCACCACAGAGTAAGAGCTGATTCTTAGTAGTTATGCTTCTAAGTATTACTAGCATCTGATGCATTGCATCATAACTGGAGGCTAGAAAACGAGGTGCACAGAGAAAAAGAATTGTTGTTGATATTTTCTTCTCATTTTTTGTTTTTCAGAATGATGATGGGAAGATTTGGTGAGCTTCTGAACACATCTCTTTAACACTGTGGAAATACTGAACTTCATTTATTTAGCATTTATTATTTTTGTTAAAACAATCATTATCTTGGGAAAATGTTCAATTATTTTTATAAATGAAATATTAATAGCTCAGTAAAGACTTAGCCTGGCTCCAGCCTTTACCTCAGGGGTGGGGAACTCCAGGTCTCAAGGGCTGGTGTCCTGCAGGTTTTAGATATCACCCTGGGTCAGCACACCTGAATCAAATGACTAGTTCATTACCAGGCCTCTGGAGAACTTCAAGACATGCCGATGAGGTAATTTAGCCATTTAAATCAGCTGTGTTGGATCAAGGACACATCTAAAACCTGCAGGAAACCGTCCCTTTAGGCCTGGAGTTCTCCCACCCCTGCTTTACCTAATGGAAATCATACTATATGAGAGTCATAAACAAGCACGTTTTAGTTTGCTTTCAAGGAGGCAGGCTTATATTTTTTTGAAAGTGGTCTTGAGTAATAGTTCTCCAGGCTTTCTGGATGTCTTTCAAGGTTTTTCTTTGGACACTGGCTGCTGTTTCACTCATTTGTAGTCCAGACGTAACCAGTTTGAGGTCGCTGTAGATCAGCAGGTAGAGCAGGTCCTCTACTAATTAGAAGGTTAGTGGTTCGAGTCTGCATGCCAAATATCCTTAGGCAAAATACTAACCCCAAGTTGCTCTCTGATGCATCCATCAGTGTGTTAGATGAAAAGCACCTAGACATAGAAAAAAGGTCTTGAGTGAATGAGGCATGTTGTATAGAGTTCAGATATAGTAACAAACGCTATATAGGAACCAGTCCTTTTACCAATTTCAGAGGAATGTATTTGTTCTTTTTAGTGAATAAAAAGCAAGTACATTAGTTAATATTAGTTGTTTAAGACAAACAGATGAATCATTCAAGTTTTTTTAAAAAGGCACCTAACTAAGGGATGAGCTAGTGGTGTGTCTACACATATCAGACAACTCAGCAAAGAAACTATTTTAAATTTTATCTTTAGGGAACTTTTTGCTAGCAGCCTGTTACATAAACACATAATACAAAATAATATTCTTGGACCAACAATGTGTTTCCAAAAGAGCCATTAATTGAAAACATGACATATCTGAAGTTAAAAAAAAAACTGTTCAGAAACTGGAAACGAGGAGGACAAGAGGAGAAATGACAGGCCTAAAAATGATCTACAGGAGATAAACATGACTGAAAGTCATTTCCTTTAGAAATGGCAAAAATCCAGCAAAGACCTTAGCGATGCATCTGGACTTTCAGTTGATCCATCTGCTGTTCACTGAAACCTTCTAAAATGCTCTGAAACGGAGGGGTGGCTGTCAAGAAGCCATTCTTCAAGAAGCCATTCTTCAAGAAGCGAAACAGAGATAAAAGGCTGAGGTGTGCCAGATGACACAACTACTGGACTGAAAATCAGAGGATATGGGTCTTATGGAGTGATCATTTCAAATATCTAATTTTTGGTTCAGATTATCATCACTATATGCGGAGGAAGTAAGGAGAGAGGTAAAACAGTGAGTGTCTACAGACATGTGACAGTGGAACATCAGATTTTGATTCACAATGCGGTAGCATTTGTAAAGTTTCTGATTGGCAACAGCTTCATTTTCCAGCATGACAATAATCTCAAACACACTACCAGTGCAGTAAAAGCATAAAAAATAAAATAATAGATCGCTATTACTCATGGATTGGCCTCCTCAGAGCTTGGGCTGCAACACTCAACACAAGAACAGAACAAAAGGCAGCGAGTCAACATCCAAAGAAGAGCTTTGAACGTCTTTCTAGAACCTGCAGAACTATTGCTGAAGAATAGTTAAAGAAATGACAAGAAAGCTGCGTAAGAGAGTTCAGGCAGTGATATCACCCAGTGATATCCCAAGCCTGTCCATAGGCTTGGGATTATAGATCTGGGCTTAGAGCTTAGATTATCATTGATGATGAGTTCGGCCTTATGTTAATCACAGTAGAATAGGTCAAAACATGACAGTAATAAGTTTTAAGTAAAAATTAAACAAAGAAGACTCTTAATAGCAAAAGACAGACAGGCAACAGACCTTTTGACACCATATTCCAATCAGATCTCCTGATCTAAACCAATCAGCTAAGGTCTATACATAGAGGTGGGAGATTATAGCGGTATCTGTCTTCTTTTTGACATGGTTGACAATTCCTAAAATATGAAACCGTTTAAACACTTTTAACTGTGATGTTTTTTCGCCACAGAGAGAGATGCATTTGACACTTTGTTGGATCATGCACCTGACAAGCTTAACGTGGTAAAAACGGTAAAAAAGGATACCTTTCCTTCCTACAATAATAATGTCTAGGACTTGCATGTGTTGGTAGTCATGTTGTAATACTTAATAATGATCTGAATGTGCTTCCAGTCACTCATCACCTTTGTGAACAAACACCTAAACAAGCTGAATCTGGAAGTTACTGAGCTGGAATCTCAGGTAAAAAGATTTCTGTAGAACCTTTGGCCCTTATTATCAAAGTCAAAGGACAATCTATGAATTTTTCATGCATGTTTTATCCTTGGTTCAGATTGTGATTTTTATATAATATAATATTTATTTGAGCAGAATGTGCTTTTTTTATTTTAAAGAATGTGCAATATTCGTGTGTGTGTGTGTGTTTCCAGTTTGCTGATGGAGTTTACCTGATTTTACTGATGGGGCTGCTGGAAGACTATTTTGTCCCACTGTATAACTTCTTCCTCACGCCTGAGAGTTTTGAGCAGAAGGTGATTTTAGATTAAAAAGTCAAAATAGGATTTTTAGCAGGTGATGAAAGTCGCTTTTAACTGCCATTTTTATTTCCCCTCTAAGGTCCACAATGTGGCATTTGCCTTTGAGCTGATGCAGGAAGGAGGCCTAAAGAAACCCAAAGCCAGACCAGAAGGTATTTGTTGTTGTTGTATTACATAATCGCATAATTTACAGGGTTAGTATTGTTGATCTGCTACAGCAGCAGTAATTTTAAAAGTTGTCCAGTAGGTGGAAACCTTGTCTTACACTCTAAAACTGGATAGCTGCTGCTGAGTTAGTTCAGCTCTAAGTTGCATTTTGTAGTCATATCCATATCTTTTATTAGAGATTAAAGGAAATTAAAATGAATTGAATAAGACTTTATTGCTTTATGACCAAAATATGACAAATGATTTCCTTAATTTGTCATATTTTAGTCTTTTGAAATCATTAAGGTCTGAATTTGGTTAAAAAACGTATTCATTATGTTATCTGATACAGCGGATTTATCACTTGAACAAAATTTAAGGTGACGTCTTCCACTGAGCATTGCAACGGTTCCTTCTTTCCATTGTGTTGCCATGCAGAATTCCTCTTCGTGTTGAATTTAAATTTGACCAATAGTAGTATTTTTTTTCTTGTTAATTTAGTTGCACAGCTTTTGCAGTCTTTGCAGCTGTAGCTGAAGAATTTCCCTTCAGTCATTAGTCAAGGTTTTTTTTAACTCCTGTTGTAAAGAAAAAAATCAATGAACAAATTCATGAATTAATGAAATGAATGAATAGCTATAGCAAGCCTACATAGGCTTGTTGGATACTGCAAATTCACAAATACTGCATATACACCATACTCCACTTCATTAGATACACCTGTTCTGCTGCTTGTTAACTCAAATTGCCAATGACATGGCAACAACTGAGTGCATTTAGAAATGTAGACAACCAAGACAACCTGCTGAAGTTCAGTGGGGGGAAAGGGTGATTTAAGTGACTTTGAACGTAGCATGGTTGTTGGTGCCAGACAGGCTCATCTGAGTATTTCAGAAACTCCTGATCCCCTGTAATTTTCCCACACAAACATCTCTAGGGTTTATGCAGAATGGTCTGGAAAAAAAAAAGAAAGTACATTGCTGATGCCAGAGGTCAGAGGAAAATCTCCAGACTGCCTCGAGGTGATAGGAAGGCAACAAATTTGGGATAAACAGCATTAAAGCATAAATACCACAGCTTCCCTGGGTGTTGTTGTTGAGCATGTCTATCACGTTATAACCAGTGTCTACCCTTCCTCTCACGAGTGCCTCTAGCAGGATAATGCACCATGTCACAAAGTTCAGATCATCTCAAAGTGACAATGAGTTCAGTGAACTCAAATGACCTCCACAGTCTCGATCTGTGCACCTTTGCAATGTGGTGGAACAGGTGACTGACATCATGGATGTGTAGCTGGCAAAACCTGAAGCAGCTGTGTGATGCTATCATGTCAATATGGACCAATCTCTGATCTCTGATGAATGTTCTGGCACTGCATTGGATCTATGGCATTAATAATTAAGGCAGTTCTAAAGGCAAAAGGGGTTCAACACAGTGCTAGCAAGGTGTACCTAATGAAGTGACAGGTTAATGTAGATATTGAAAGACACAGTTGAGCAAAAAAACCTTGATATCTGTGTTTAGAGGCATACATATAACATGCCTTATTCAAGCATTTACTGCACTGCGCACAGCATGCAGTATAAATGCTCTGATCAGTGTAAAGGTTGTCGTTTCCACATCTGTGGGTTCATTGTAAACAAGAGAGGAGGCCCCAAACAGGGAAAGCTGAATGTTCAGTTTCTGTTAAGGCAGGCTAGTTTGGTAAATTCTAATAATCAAATAAGCTCTTATGTAGAACACGTGATGCTTGCAGAGAGAACAGAAAGTCCTTTTGTGCCTTTGAATCTTTTTGTAAGAAGTAATACATCATCTAAGGATAATTTGCAAAGTTTTGGGAGATATTTTAAGCACCATTTAGTTTCCAAAATTACAAATAACCTTTTGAGGGAAACAGTCTAACAGCAATGATAGAACTGGCTCCTTTTCATGTTAAATATGATTTTATGGTAGCATAGCTATTTATTTTGTTCTTCAGTATTCCAGCCATCCAATTTTTCTTATTAAGATAATTATCAAACATGCCAAGACAAGGAAATCGTTTTCTTCCCCAAACCAGTTCGGGGACACCAGACTTCAATAATCTTTGCTTTTTCTTTTCTAGATGTCGTCAACCTGAACCTGAAGTCCACCCTCAGAGTCCTTTACAATCTATTCACCAACTACAAAACCTCTGCATGAGCTTTTCCTGTCTTTAACGCCTGGCATTACTCTGAACACTGCCCTGTGCCTGCACTGATATTATACATTACAGTCTGGACACTGTAGGAGACCAACTGGGACTGAAAGTCATCATTATGTGGGACTTAAAAAGCCCCAGGGGGTCTAGCCAGAAAAAAGGCTCTGAACGCTAGTATTTAATCTTCCCCAAATGTCAGTATTTATTTTTCCCTCCTCGAATGTTAACTGCAACCCAGGAAACTCTGCAACCTTTAGCCCTGCATTTGAATACATAGCAATCACGGGGAAATGTTAAAACTGGAAAACGTTTGTGTGTCATACTGAACTCATTACGCTCCGTCGTAGATTATTATAAAAAATTATAAAATGCTGTAATATATTATCAAGTGTCTCAGAATGCTTTTCATAAATATGAATGTAATCATTAGCTATTTTCTTTGAAAAGAATTTGATGAGTATATCGGAAATTTTCGTGTCCATAAAAGCCAGAAAAATTACACATTTTCTGTTTAACCTTCACAAAAAAAACAGTTTTATGTAGAAAGTTTGGTCTGTGAGGTTTAGGAGAAAGGTTTCAAGTTGACAACATATTGTCATTTAAGGCTAAATATAGAACACCCTATAGTAAAATACACCGAAACTGAGAAAATTACCTAAAAATGAAGAAAATACATCCATGGTGCCTTTGAATAACCTTTATATAATCCATTATTTGTTCTTGTATAAAGTACAAATAAAAATTTGTCATTAAACAATACAGCATACTGTAATTATATATAAATTATATTTTGTTTTGAATATTTGCAGTCTGTAGATGATAAAACTTTACAATTAAATAGCTCAAATTGTTTGAATCCAACTGGACCTTTCTTTGTGTGTCCGCCTGGTACTCCAGCTTCCTCCCACACTCCAAAGACATGCATGGGGTTATCTTAATTGGTGATTCTAAATTGGGCATAGGTGTGAATGTGAGTGTGAACAGTTGTCTGTCTTTATGTGTTAGCCCTGGAACAGATTGGCAACCCATCCAGGGTTGTTGGAGAGGCTCCTGCCCCTTGCAACTCTGAATTGAATATGGAATTAAGAAAATGGATTAATGAATAAATACATTTAAAAGCCACAAAAGGATGACAGGAGGTGAAAGCAGCTATCTTGGTGTCAGCAGCTGGTTTGTGGCCTGTCGTTTTAAAGCCTTGAGTTTGGTGTTCCAGCTGTTGCCATCTTGGCACCAGATGTGATGAGGGAGCCATGGATGTGCCTGAGAGCCAGGAGACACTGAAACCTTATCAGTTACAAGTAAGTGAGACCCTAACAAAGTTTTAACTAAGTACTGAATAATTTTACCTTTGCTTTTGGATGATGTGTGTACTGTGTTATGCTGCTTCCAGTGTTTAAGTAATTTGAAAACCTATTAAACCTTTTAAAATTCTAAGAATTCAGTAAGAAGATCTTTGCAACTCTTCTTTATGCATGCAGTCAATTAGCTTAGCTTCACTCAGACTGAAACAAGGAAACAGTTGAGAGAAGCATGTTGAATATCCTGAGGCAAGATGCTGAATCCCAAGTTGCCCCCAACCAATTCACTGGAATGAGAGAGTGTTAAGTTAAAGGTTCTTTGCTTCACATAGAAAAAACCTTGTCTTAATGTGTGTGTGTGTGTGTGTGTGTGTGTGTGTGTGTGTGTGTGTGTGTGTGTGTGTGTGTG